GACAGAATGGTGCCGTTGTTTGCCTCCATGCTTGTTGTAAAGGACAGAATGGCTCCCTTGTTTGCTCCATGCTTGTTGTAAAGGACAGAATGGTTCCCTTGTTTGCCCCCATGCTTGTTGTAAAGGACAGAATGGTTCCCTTGTTTGCCCTAATGCTTGGTGTAAAGGATGGAATGGTCCCCTTGTTTGCCCCCATGCTTGTTGTAAAGGACAGAATGGTTCCCTTGTTTGCCCTAATGCTTGGTGTAAAGGATGGAATGGTCCCCTTGTTTGCCCCCATGCTTGTTGTAAAGGACGGAATGGTTCCCTTGTTTGCCCCCATGTTGTAAAAGACAGCATAGTTCCCTTATGTTTGAATGGGTACCCCTGCTTATCTGGAAGGCTGAAAGGGTGTCCTGTAAACCTGTATATGAAATTCTGAATAAATCACTAGAACTCCAGCTTGTATTTAACAGATGAATAGACTTCAAATGCTCCGATTAGAGGGTTTATTCTTATACAATCAAACAAGTAAGGACTACCATGACAGATAAACTATAGTAATATGCAAGAATCAGGTGGTCCTCAGTGACAGATAAACTATAGTAATATGCAAGAATCAGGTAGTCCTTAACTTTTTTGGGTAGTATATCTTTTCATGTATGATTATTATTGGTACTTTTTTATCCGATTTCTGATCAGTTGGAGGTTTATTGATCATCATATCATTATTGACAGGAAAGCAAAAATCCTTTCAATGTAAATACTGTGTTGACAGCATCTTTGCACCAATCAACTCCTATGTCAGAAATGACACGGATCAGTGATTACAAGACCTTGAACTGTGGCAAAAATCTCTTTCTTCACACTGTTTATATGATAAAGCTGTGATATAAGCCAGTTATTCCTTAGGGTACATTACCATATCTACAAGCCAGCAGCAGGGAGTGGCAGTCATATAGTTGGTCTGCACACTCCATAAAGATAATCAGACACACATGTTGGGGGTGTTGGGGCGACACCAGGGAAATGTTTGTGGTTAATTTGGTGTAAAATGTTCTTGACTACTCCTCTCATTGTTGCGGATGCTGGATTTAAAAAAAATAATAATGAGGTAAATATTTAAGGTATGAGTTGTTGCATTTCCTTAATATGTCAGATTTCTGCTCTTTGAGTGTGATGAAGCTTGTGAAGTTATAGATTTTCCGAATGGTACTTGAATGGTAGTATTTCTCGGATAATGATATGGAGGGATGGGAGGGGAAGGGAAGAGAGAATGAATGGATGGGACAAAGTAGAGATGATAGTTGATCAGGGATGATTGAAAATGGAAGGGAGAATGGATGGATAGAAAGTTTAATGGTAAAATTGGATGGGAGGATGGAAGGACGCACGCAGGCACGCACGCACACACGCACACACACAGGCACGCAAGCACATTCATACATTCATACATTCATACATTCATACATTCATACATTCATTCATACAGGTACATTCATCCTTGAGAGTTTGTATTGCATTCCGCAGTAACATATCTAAGATTGTAACATTCCAATAAAAATATTCCTAAAATGTGAAAGATTACACTTCTGGAGAAACATTTCTTGGTGATAGCAAGAGTTGAACTAACCACGTAGCACCTATAAAAACATTTGGTTTTCATTGAAGGAGAAATATATCTGGTGAAGGATTAACCCATCACCTTATCTTAATCCTGGCTGATGCAGTTTTATTGAAGTCAGATGTACACGTATTGCCACTGATCAGATAATGCCGCTTTGTGCCCTACAGAGGGTAGCATCTGTTTCATTCATGACTGAAATATATGTCTGTCCCGGTCACACTTGGATACTTCCACAGGGCTACAGACGGGGCCCTACAGACTCCGGACGTTGAATTGCTTCATCTTGTCCAGGTGCCTCCTGATGAGACAGTAAATCAGATACACATGACGGAACCTAATTCAGTCATGGAAACACATGAGAGTTACCGGTTATCTCATCCAATAGATGATACCCAAATTAAATTATATAGGAAGTTTAGATTATAAATGTGTACTCAAAGACTATATGTTATTGTTAAAGTTTATAAATTTCTCAGCTGATTCAGAGAAGTGTATTAGAATATTTCTTCGAACTGTTGTGTCAGAATATATGTTTTTGTTCTAATTGTGGCTGTGTAATGAGACTTTATTTTGTTTACATGATGCAACAATGCTAAATATCAGAAACTAGATTCTAGATAACAAGATTTAGTTTACATATATTCAGGAATCACAATGCTTAGTCTTTAAAATTCTTATATCTAGTTCATAAGGGAGACAGCTGATTTTTGTTTGTTTGTTTGTTTGTTGTTTAACGCCACACTCGGCAATATTCCAGCTATATGACGGTGGTCTGTAAATAATCGAGTCTGGACCAGACACTCCAACTGATTGATGTAACGTAGGTACCTTATTATATTTTGATCCACTACTTAATTCACATATGGATAATAGAACAGGGATCCTGAAGGTGTTAATAAGTGTTTTGGGAGAAATAAATCCAGAAGGTAAATGTTTTTATCATTAATGTAGACATTGTGGGGTATTTTCTTAGATTTAGAAAGGGATTGGTTGGACAAAATGGCCGCTGAGTATGGATAGTGCTTGGGTTACATCTTGAGACTTGGTTGGTGGTCTGTTTCTTGTATGTTTGTTGTTTATTGGGACACTCAGCAATATTACAGCGGCCTGTAAATAATCAAGTCTGGTCCAGACAATCCAGTGATCTATATTGTGTACAATGATCCACCTGTACCAGGACACACCATTAACCAGACAACAAACTGATTACTCCCAACTCAACTGGGCATGCTTTAGCTGTACAGAACATTTCTAGCTTTATGTAAGAAGTTTGAGATGCTGTTCTGAGATGCAACACAATATCTTAATTCCTGATGAGTTTTCTTTGTCTTATGTTCTTCACATCTTCATTGTTAATACACAAAGGCTGGAAAGATTTCAAGTTTTGCTTACAATCATATTCTGACAGACAGACAGACAGACAGACAGACATTTTTTTCAGTATGCAAGGCCGGCCATATGGCCAATAGTACAGTTCAGTTTTAATAGATACATAAAAATCGACGTGATCTTGAACATAGTATAATATATTCACCTGAGTCTAAATACATGTTTCAAATTCATTGCTAAAGATTTGATGACTTCTTCATTGGTCGAATTCAACAAATTGATCATCAATTGATTGTCTTTGTGTGTAATATCTAAATTAGGTAGAAACTTTAATCTCAATGTTTTATATTTTCACATATAAAAAGGACATGAAACTCGTCTTCAATCTCCTGGTTGGTACAATTAGAACTTATATAATTTTCAAAATCACTATCCTTGTTTCCACGATATTTATTGTCAAAGTTAGTTATGGAGAGATATTCTAAATTTACAAAGAGCTCTTAATTGAGTTTTATCTTGTAATATGCTTAAATATTTTTCTGGTTGTAACAATGATTTATTACCAGCATAATGCTTGAGAAAGTGTGAAGGAAAACTTGTTGGTGCCAATTTTGCTGAAATATGTCTAATAATCTTTGTTTAAATTTGAGCAAAAATAGTTTTTCATTACCAGTGTCTTGTGAGATCCATACAAAGGAAAATCCAGTATCAAATAATAATTATCCTTTGATGTGTGCTCCATATTTGTTTTACAAGAGCTTTCATGTCCCAGTTTCTCTGATGAAAATAGTGTTTGAAGTGTTGTAAAATAATGTCTTGATGATTCTTTAGTCCTTGAAGAGTTATCTGTCTTTTTCTGTGAATTCAAGGAAACATTCGTAAAATCATCTGCCTTTGGACTGAATCCGTAAATTGATTAATATATCATTTTAAACTCTTTGACCAACCACTTTCTTTTAAGAGAAATGCCGACCACAACTGTATTACTTCTTTGAGTGGCATTTAGAAGTTGGAATGGTAACTAAGACAAAATTGTTATGGATGAGCAACTTCTTTATTAAAATTGGGCGATGTTTCGGTGTAGATTCTAACACCGTTATCAAGCAAATGATCCATAACAATTTTGTCTTAGTCACAACTGTATTGCTTTGATGTAATTTGGATTTGACGACCATTCCACATCTGTTTGTCTCAGCGTAGGTTCCTAATAAACCATGCTGGTTGTGAGGCATGAAATGGCCATCATGGCTGTTGGTTGTTCACAGTCACACAGATCTGGTATTCTGATTAAAATATCAAAACTTTTTGCCCAATTACTGTCAAACACCCATCTGTATAGAATATTTAGATGGAAATGTGTTCCTAAGCCAGCTTGGATTGTATATTCCCCAGGGATGTGAGAAAGAAATTTGAGTGCACACAGAATCATTGATTGGGGTAATAGCATAGCGCTTTGAACAGTGGAATTGGCGCATGATAAATATACACATTATTATTATTATTATTATTATTATTATTATTATTATTATTATTATATAGTTGCTGACTGCATTGATTTTTTTCGTTTAATTATGACACAATCTATTGGAGTGATGTTTGAAATTTTGACAGATGGCATATTGCAATCTTGGTGTATTTTTACATGAAGAGAAGTGGTTGATTGTTAAAAGGTGTACAATTTCATTATGTTATATAGACCATATTTGGATTCCTGTGGACTAGGTCATGGTTAGCTAGCCAAGACCCAACTCGGACCCAACTCTCTTTCGGTAGCTGTATAAATGTGTCCTCCATTCCTGACATTCACACTATCAACCACTGGTTTGTCTGGTCCAGGAAATAATGTATTCTATTTTAGATCATGCTATTATTAACATCCAATACTTTTTATTTTTCCTACAATCTGGATTGACATAAACTGCTACTGCAGAGGACTGTATTTCAGTGTATGTCATTGTAAGTTTTGGCAACTGGATATATTTTACAAGAAAGTTTCCAAAACTGTTTCTGTTTTTCATGGAATAATATGGAATAAAAAACTATAGTTTAATATTTTATTTTTCAGAATAAAAAGTATAGCACAGCAGATTGCCAGTGAGCCCCGGGGGCACCTGCACAGGTAAGACATACACCTTACTGATGTATCAGATTACTTTGCCAAGTTAGCCGGTGAAAGTACTGATATTGTTATTCCCATACTTTAACATAGTCATGCAATCTGTGGGCTCTCCAGATAATAACACTTGTCCCCAGCAACCTCTGCTGGTTGTAAGAGGCGACTGAAGGTTGGGCGACTTGGTTGATTGCATGTCATCATAAACCAACATAGAGCAATGCACAGAATATCAAATACTGGATGGCCTGGTCCTGAGTCAATGATGAACAGGCTGCCTTCATATAGCTAGAATATTGCTTAGTTTGGCATTAAAAAAACAAATTTATAATAATTTTTTTCCAAATACTAGGGACTATTTTACAAGATCACTACAATTCTATCAAATGAAAAGTGTCATTAAACAATGTTATTGTTATATATATTTTTATATCATCCATTTGAACTACTGTATTAATTCACTTCCCCCTGGGACGGTCGGGTAGCCTTGTGGTTAAAGCGTTCGCTCGTCACACTGAAGACCCTGGTTCGATTCCTGACATGGGTACAATGTTTGAAGCCCATTTCAGGTGTCCCCCGCCGTGATATTGCTGGAATATTGCTAAAAGCGGCGTAAAACCATACTCACTCACTCACTCACACTCACTCACTCACTCACTCACTCACTCACTCACTCACTCACTCACTCACTCACTTCGCACCATCTGCTTCTATAATCCAGCAAGTTCCAGTTTCTGTGGATGAATGATGTGGACACCGCCAACAGCATTACCATGTCCTTCCTCAGCACGCCCACTGTCTTTGTCCTTGACCCAGAGAAGCACATGCACTACTTCCCAGAATCCACTGTGACAGACTTCACAGTAGCTTCCTTCAAGCAGTTCCTGCAGGATGTGGAGGAGGGAAACATTCAGGTAAGTAGATGTGACACCGCTGTATTACCTCCCCTGTGGGGCAACTGATGGATCGAGGGTCAGAGACAGAGGTAGGGACAATGTTATGATGAAATGATCCCATATATTTAAGATTTCCTACAGAAATTCAGCTACATCTATAGAAATACACACAAAACATGCATTTTCATCCAAATATATTTTCACCTGGAACATGAGATGGAACCGTTTTGATTTTTTAATACCTATTTTAATTATTTTAATGGGTAATATTGTACTGAACATGTTAAATAAGGATCCATGATATTGTCTTTGAGTACACATTTAGACACGCTGTATTCTGTTATCTAAAGACATGGAACATCAGGAAACCTTGAGAGATTACTGAGATGTCGGTCTTTATGAGATACCAATAAACAGGGTATTGTGGATCTACAAATAGAATACTCACCAGATATTTGAGGATGAAACAAATACAATACAGGAATATTTTGACAAAGTCTCTAACTGTTATGGTTCTGTATTCTGGCAACTCATCGATGTCCGAAGACCTGAATCAGGTCGATACCAACGGACAAGGCGTCGACTGAGCATGATGTATGTTGTTGCAGGGATCTGGAGGGACGGGGTTCTTCCAGAGACTCCTGAGACTTGGCTATGACCTGGTGTCGACAGTTGTGGTGAGTCAGGATGATGATGATGATGATTGTGATGATGATGATGATTGTGATGATGATTCCAGGAGAGACAACACTTAACTAACAAATTCTGAAGTCTCTATTTGGACTTGTGCCATATGATCCTGTGTTTGTTCAGGTGAATATTTGACTTGCCTTTTCATGTGTTTGTGATTGATGCTACTCAGGGCAGGATACACTCATCTTTTTGCAAACAACTGGCATTGTCACTATTAGATTTGACATGCTTATGACCTAGTCAGAATCGTACAATGGACTCGGCCTTTAGCAGAGATTTGGGATAATATGGAAGGGTTTTGTTGCTATTTATTATTATAATTATTATAATAATTTTCTTGCATGTCATGTTTGTCATAAGGCCTGACTAAGTTGGGGCTAAAGCGGCCAATGATTTATCTGGTGGCAGTGGGGTGACCATTTGTTGGAAGCACTGGTTTGCAAGAACAAGTCTTTTTCTAGTCATCCTTTTCGACTATTACGACAAGCAGCATACTTGTAGGTTATGCTAAGCAGCATTTCATTTTCATTTTACTTTAAACTTTCATCATGACCAAATTTTGACATCCATGATATGGAGTTTTTGGCTCATTTGACTCAGAAATTTGGTCTTGAAATGGATTTGTCCCCAATCTGTTACTGTGGTGATATAGTGTGATGGTGTAAGACCTTGGAAATAGAATCACCTTGACATTGACTTGTCCCTTATCTGTTACCATAGTGATATAGTGTGATGGTGTTTGACCTTGGAAATAGGATGACCTTGACATTGACTAGTTCCCTATCTGTTACTGTGGTGATATAGTGTGGTGGTGTCTGACCTGGGGGAGTAACACTGACATGTCCCCTTGTATTCCCAGAGCATCTGGCAGGCATCCCGCTGGCTGTTCCTGCTGATGTTTGGCCTGCCCACCATCATCATCAGCGTGGTGTGCTACAGCCTGTGCTGCATGGAGCCCATCGACGACGAGTTGGCCGAGGACGAAGATGAAGATGAGGACTACATGCTGGAGGAAGAGGAAGCAGGTCAGTGGCGGACTTCAAGGTTCATGACCATAGAGTGTAGAACTTTCTGGAGCGAGTGTTGACACAATATACGCGATGAAAGTTTAGGTATGGTTACTAAGTAGGCGGAGAGGGCCATACAAGTGACATACCAGTCTTTTAAGTTTGCACTGATCCTAAGCACCACCCTTTTGTGTTTTTGTGAACTTGTCAAACAATGTGATAAAAATAAAATCTGTTGAAATATGAAAAATAGGTGAACCAGATGGTATTTCATACAAACTTAATTTTTTGTGTTAGTTTCATAGGTATCAGGTCAGAGTTAATTGACCTTCATGTTGTGAATAAACCTGCAAAAGTCTAACAATTTAATAGTTTATTCAAAATGAATTTTGAAATGTTGCCTAATGTGACTTAAATTATATATGGATTGTAAAATAGTTTTTATGGTTCTTTATTATTTGATTTGAAGACATGGTCAGATGTACATAACTTTATGACAGTCTGCTAATTGTTCTTTGCAGGTGAAATTCAGCCATCAAAAACAGAAGAAGACAAGAAAACTGACTGAGGGAAATCACTTAACAATCTTTAGATTTTGTAGTGATCCTTGGAGTCTTGTCAAAATAGCCATGAAGTTGACACCAAATGTCGACTCCATTGCTTTACTATTTGGTCCCCTCAAGAACAAACACTGATATGGTTTACCAACAAACAGTTTAAGAATATTCCACCTTAATTGAAACTATGGTTCAAGTGATATGAGGCAATAGCAAATATACAATACTTTTTTTTTAATGACAACTTAAATCTCTCATGAATAACTACTCCAACTATTAGACACATCTTCTACTTGTTGTCCATCATTTACCCTTGCAGCAACAATGAATATGTGTTAGCAGGCTGGAATAAAAATAATTATTAGAACGGATCCCCATCCTCATCTCTACTTATCTATGCTAATACTGATAAAGTGAAAACATTGAGGTTTGATCACGTGATTACTATCTGGTAAAGCTCCGGCAGTCAGGTGACTAAATTCAGGCTATATTGTGCAGCGTGTGCAGCCATGAGAGTATATACATTACCAGCATGAACTGAAAGAAAAGAAACGTGCAGATGCTGTATTTAAAGCACTATTGACCAAGTATAACTGTTTACAATCGCCTGACTATCGAATTGATTCTGGATTGTAACCATGTGATCAAAACTCAAATGTGTTTTATCGCTAGTTAAATGGATGTTTCTTGAAAAGCACACTTAACACTCCTTGTCAGTACTGTACGTAATATTCCTTGTTTTCGCTTTATGAGTATTAGTACACATGCAGCCATCTGTTAATTAATCATTGCGATATTTCATGATTCTATTTCAAGTGGCAAGGACTTTACATATAATCCCTTCTGTCTTCATTTGTATAAAATCATTTTATTTTATTGTATATTTTATCTCATGTATAAAAGTGTAAAATACCTCCTGTTTTCGTTTTGAAAATTCGAAAGAAAATCTAATGATTTATTGATTATGGCCTTAAATCTGGTTTCTTTAGAATCTTGGTCAAGAGATGTTTCTCCAAAAGGGGGTAATCTGGTAGCTGAACACACTCATAATTGCATTACCATAAAATCACAATCACAACCAAAGTTCTTGAAGATGTGTGTAAGGTAATGTTCTGTGGAACACATTATCAACTTGTTGTGGCTTAAATTGAACAAATAAAAGTAAGTCCGTGAGTGTTGTAGACTGCAGTCAATATTCCAGCAATGGAATGACAACCAAGTCAGGTCTGGACGGGCAACCCAGTGGTTGAAAGCATGAACACCTTCTCATGCTGTCTTGGTATAATTTGGAATTTATTCAGGAATTATCATGTTGGCATATGTCAACTAAGTCATTGATATCTTGTAAACTGGAGATCAAACTAATGAATGTTGCCAAGCTTTGGATATAGCAAATATTAGTTTTATCCAAAGAAGGCTTAAATGAACTTGTAGTGTAGAAAAAACTATGTACCTGTACATTACTTTCAGTTAATTTTTTGTTAACACCTCATCATCATTTCTATTTGATAGTGATTCATAAACACATGCTCATGATATAGTTGGAATCTTACAATCGACTCTGCTTTATGCAGAGTTTTCTTTTGGATATGGAAAGGGTTTTGTCGCTATATTTATAGAGGTGTGTTGTATTTGATTGTACGGAATGAAGAGAAATACTTTCTTAATGGACACACAGCTGACATCCTCACAGAATGATGAAGATAGATACGTTTGTGAAAAAAAAAGTACTATGCTTGGGACGATGACAATATTTTTAACAGGTAGTTCCTTTTGTGCACATGGTACAGTATAAACTGTTGTCAGCCAGGTGCAAATATTGTCATAGGTGACAGCACCATTCTCCCCCTGCGTACATTTGGACTGTGCCAGTCATTTATGTTCAGTGGTCACAACGCAGGTCTCATCTTTTGCTATACAGTAGCCGCGATTACCTCCTGAAGTAATGTAAGAACAAAAATTATGGCTCACAGACTTGCAGGAACCATGAGACTAGGTTTGTTACACAGTTGCCACGATTATTCCTGAAGTAATGCAAGAAAGTAAATTATAGCTCACAGACTTGCAGGAACCGTGAGACTAGGTTTGTTTTGCAGTAGCCACGATTGTTCCTGAAGTAATGTAAGAAAGTAAATTTTAGCTCACAGACTTGCAGGAACCATGAGACTAGGTTTGTTATGCAGTAGCCCAATTGTTCCTGAATTAATGTAAGAAAGTAAATTTTAGCTCACTGACTTGCAGGAACCGTGAGACTAGGTTTGTTATGCAGTCACCACAATTGTTCCTGAAGTAATGTAAGAAAGTAAATTTTAGCTCACAGACTTGTAAGAAACCGTCAGACTAGGTTTGTTATGCAGTAGCCACGATTGTTCCTGAAGTAATGTAAGAAAGTAAATTTTAGCTCACAGACTTGTAAGAAACCATGAGACTAGGTTTGTTATGCAGTCGCCACGGTTGTTCATAAGGTAATGTAAGAAAATAAACTTTAGCTTTCAGACTTGTAAGAACGTAAATTATGGCTCACAGACCTTCAGCAACCGTGAGAAAAGTTTTGTTATACAGTAGCCACAATTACCTCCTGAAGTAACATAAGTATGTAATTTATGGCTCAGTCTTGCAGGAACGTCAAGAAGAGGTCTATTATACATTAGCCAGGATTACCTCCTGAAGTAATGTAAGTACATAAGTTATGGCTCACAGAATCTCAGGAACCATAGGAATAGGTTTGTTATATCTGTAGTTCAACCACGAATGTATCAGCTCCCTCAACAACATTGACCAAATATTTTATCATTTTAAATTTCATATTGCATGAAATGACCAGAAAACTTTGCTGCAAATTTTACAAACCCAATGGCAACTAGCAAAGCCATTTCTTTGTTCCATGAATAATTGAATTGTGCTATTTGCATTTGTAATTTCAGTAGTGAAAATGAGGTTTAATTCTGAGTATTGCCATGTTGAGTATATATGATTGGTACACTCACCTTTAGTAACTTTCTATATCATAGAAATGGTGACAGAATGTTATGTTGTTTATCAATCACATGTTGAGAAATATCAGAAGCATCAGCCAAACAGTATCTCCATGTGGCATGTGTGGAGTTTTTAGCTATGAAGGTATATTGAAATTTGTCAGAAATTAATTAATTCTGTATGATGTGACTGGTGAAGGGAACTATATCAGTTGTGTTTACACTGTATCTTAATTAATTTTTAAAATTTATTTATGTATTTCCCAAACCCAAATTCATTTTTTGAAAAACCCACTAAAATATGAAAAGCAGTATATTTTCCCTCAGGCTGAAATAGCTATTTCTTTCTTTTCTGAACAGCATGTGTCATCCCAAGAAATAAGAAGAATATTACCCTATGTTTTTAAATTGTAGTTTATATAATGGATTGTTAATATGTCTTCAGAATCATAGAAAAAAGAAATTTATGTGATATTGTTAACTCAGTTGTTAAAATTTTGAAATTGTCAAAATCAATTTGGTGACATAAAATCCTCTAAAGTCATTGACTTTATTAATGATTAGAATGTTAATTTAAATCATTCAATACCTGATTTATTTTAAGATAATTTTATAATAATTTTTCCGACCACAGATTGACATATTGCGTAAAGTGTTCTATTTCTGAGGTACCGGTAAGATATGATGTATGAATCGGATGTGTATGGATACAGTTTGTTCAAATAGTCTTGCTGTGAGTTGCCCTCAGAGAGTTTGTACTTGTTGTGAGTTAGTTGTTCTAGTCTTAGATTAGTGGATTTAAGCAGGGAACTTAAAAATAGTCATCAAGCAATCCCCATCGACTGGAAGACCCAAAGTACCATGTGACCTAAATATGTCTAAATGGAATTCCCTGTATGCACAAGCTGGCGCTATGATATTTTGATGAAACACACACCACCAAAAAATGAAAAAAAGTCTGTTTTAATTTCCTAAAGCTTACATCCATGCAGTTTATGAAATGTCTACTCAATAAAAGTTGCACCGTTTTGTCAACATTTGAGATAATGGGGGTCATGTCATTTTGCAACCAAGCCAAGTGTTTTTCTAATGTTATTTCTGTGGTTGAGGTTAATATTCTTTAAGATTGTTTGATGTCAATGTATTAGACAGTAGTACTGTTTTTGATGTGTTAATAACAAATTTGAACATTCGGGTTATATTGATAACACAGTTTGAACTCATTGACAATGATATATGTTATGTGTAGCCATGGTATTATCCCGCAGGAATATGTACCCATATGTTTACACTGTCTGAAGCTTATTTACCCTGGCATCTGTACAATTCTCCTTATTTAAGTTTAACTTAATTTTTTTCAAGTTAATTTATATTTGATTGATTGAAATACATTTGTTTTTTTTAGTGTCAGGTTTTTCCCATATCTTAGTTTATCAATCCAATGGTCCTATATTTCACAAATAAGGAAGAAATTTAAGATTATGAGGGCAGTCACTTCTATTCCCTCCAAATCTGTGAATATTTTCAGAAAACAAAGCTAATGTCATGGGCAATTGCCAATTTAAAAGGTGTTCTATTATCTAACAACATGTTATCTTTCTCCCTGCACCCAAAACTTCACAATTTTGACATGACATACAATTATTTATTTTTTATTCACGCCAAATCTAACCAATATTACTGATTATAAATGTTCAAAGTAGGTCAATGGCTAAGAGAGTAACTCTTTTACCACACTTGAATATTTTTTTAAAATTTTCACCTATCTAACAATAAATTATTCACTTGAAAAGTTTTATGTTATTTTCATTTCAATGATTTACCCTACCTGTTGAAAAATATCTGTAATAAAAACGAGGCTGAACCAGAGAATCAATGTGAAGGCAACTGCTAGCAGAGACCATAATTTTTTATTTTTATTTTATGGTTTCTGTAGCTAGTGAACCCTTTTACCAATGTTTCTTGAATACTGACCCTTTCCCATTTGCTATAATATTAATGGATCAGTTGAGTTTGAGGTTCCGTTGTGTAACAGATGATCAGAGCTTTACTTCATGACATAATGTTATAAGATTTTACTTACAGATTTTGTGCAATAAGTATGATTAGCATGTGGGAGTGTACATACTTAAGTCTGGAAACTTGATGATTGTGTTAGTCTGTTATATATTCTATCATCTACATGTATGTGTGGCTGTTTTTGATATATATTCAATTTAATTCATGTTGTTTTCATTGGCTCATTTATTTTACAACTTCTGGGACATATTGCTACAATGACTTTGATCATAATGCTTTGCAGATCACTGTGACATCATCATTACAATGACATCACAATCCAGTGACATCACTAATCTCTCTGCCACTGAGGCTGGCTTGTTGTAACGTTTACACTCAAGACACTGGTTAATACTGTTTATGAACAGAAGTTAGAAGAATGATTTTGGATAATAAATAGAATTTCTACTGAGTGTCTTTTAGTATCAAATATATCAATATGAGTTTACTTAAAGTTTAAAACTCTTAGCAAGTCTCAGAGGCTGAAACTTTTATCAACTTGATATTTGATTTTATAAGACACTGAGGTGAGATTCTCATATTGGCTTGTTCTTGCTCCATAGTTTTTTCCCAGTTTGAGTGTGTGGAGTATGAAGCCATGAATGACAAACCAGTTGGTGCTAACTTGTTCTGTAGTCTTTTTGGTGCTGGATTCAGAAACCAGATCATAGGAATAAATACTGTGACTCCATTCCATAAGCAATCTTAGCGCTAAAATCATCAGAACTCCAACACTTCAACATTGTCTTATGACAGTTGTAGCTCTAAAATTGATTTGTGGAATGGTCCATATTACCTACAGAGCCTTTGTCCACTCGTACGAAACAGTTGTATCTCTTGATGATGTAGAGTTCACCCGTTCATGATGTAGAGTTTATTGTAGTCACAGTTGTGCACATCTGGGCGTTCATGCCAACATGTTGGCTTGGCCTCAACAGTTAAACTGAAATGATTTTTTGGAATTTAATATAAGAGAGGAAACTTGTAACAAATTTAATTTTTCGTGTTATCATCATTTTAAAAAATTCCTAGAAAAGTCTTGTACAACCTGTATGTACTACAAAACAAACTTAAGAAAAATGGGTGTGTCCAGTGTTTTGGTGATAGTAAGCATTCTGTATGCAACAGAAGAATCCATATAAAATCCATTGACCAAGGGACTGCAGTTGAGTTTGACACAGTGCAGGTGGAGTTCATGCTCTAGTTGTATTTCCTCAATTCACCACACTGGTCGACAGGCCCATGAGCAAATCTTCCTCACCTGTTGCTGATAATGATGGTCCACGGATTCAGTAGCCACTGATGTTATTTCTTTAATTTTTTGGGCAGTAATCAGTCAGCCATGGGCTCCCAGTGTTCTTTGTTTTACTCCCAGGAGCATTGAGTATTCTTGCCCTTTTATCAACAAGAACCTACAAAGTATATACAAGTACATGTGTTTAGATGAAGGAGTTTGCAGTTCCCATAGTAACTGTTGTGGTTCTGTTTGAGTCGTTTGTATCCAAGTCTTATTGTGAGTGAGTGAGTTAAAGTTTAACATCACATCGGCAATATTTCAGCCATATCGTGATGATCCAAGTCTTATAAGGTGAAAGGGTTGTTCTGTTTGGCAGCCATGGTTGGACAAATATGTCTCCACGTTATAATGAATCACTGTTGGAGATGTCAATACCTTTTCACTGTTGTATCATCTGTTGAACTTAATATCAGGAGGCAAACAGTCCTTACCTTTGTGATAGGAAGAAATAAGTTATATCATATATGTATATGTGATCTGTACATGTTCAAAAGAGAACCAAATCTGTTCTCATAAGACTTCTAGAATGATTTATAAAGAAGTATTTCATAGTATTTTGTTTGTAATGATTTTGTCTTCAATGTGTGGATGTATAGTGATGTTATAGTATTTAGAGATGCCTGTCTCCCAGTCTTCATCGCTCTGTTGGACATGCTTGGTGTTTGTGTTCCTCAGAACAACTTGATATCAGAACTGTGCACGTGTAAAGTAGATGTGAGGTATGATCTCATTTAGGGTAAAGATGACATACCCCTATAGTCCAGTGATTGAACATCATCCCATGAATATAGCTTTCTTTGACACTAGGAGGTTTCAATGCCGCTGGACCAAAGTTCCAATACATTACAGAGGTGGATTCAGGGTATTGTATCTATAATAAGGGGTGGGTGTATGTGGGTAGGGTGGGGTGGGATGGGTGGTTTGGTAGTTGGGGGCTTGTAGAGGGGTGAGGATTTTCAAAAGTCAAAGATATACAGAGGTATTTGGGTAGGGGGTGGTGGTGTATGGAGGGTGGGGGTGTATGGAGGGTGATGGATGAGAGAGGGCCATGTCATTGTTGTCCTATTCAGGTTTCAGGTTCAGGACAGCCATCCCTAATGCCCTGAAACTGTCACTGCATTTTCTCCCGTGAATCATTCTGTGCTCACAATTGAATATCCTCATAATCCACCAGAAATTACAGGATTTTAAAATGTTTTCTTTGATAATGTTTGTCTGGACACAAATTTCCATCTGACTTGATTGTCATAATATGATACTAATTTTCTCTATGGAAAATTGGGAATTGCTGGAATTGTATGTTTTATAATACTCAACATCATCAGATAGCAAATATGATGAGTTAGTTGGAGATACATGTGCTGGACAATACTTTAGACTTTAGAGTATAGACTATCTTTGTCACATTCATCAGATATATATTGAGTTAGTGGGAGATACATGTATTATACACTTTAGTCTATATAACATGTATTATACACTTTAGTCTATAAACTATCTTTGTCACATCCATCAGCTATATTGAGTTAGTGGGAGATACATGTATTATACCATACTACAGACTATCTTTGTCACATTCACCACATTATGGGTTCGTGGGAGATACATGTATTACACCATACCACAGACTATCTATGTTACATTCATCAGATATATTGAATTAGTGGGAGATACATGTATTATACATTACTACAACTATCTTTGTCACATTCATCAGATATATTAAGTTAGTGGGAGATACATGTATTATACATTACTACAAACTATCTTTGTCACATTCACCGCATTATGAGTTTGTGGGAGATACATGTATTATACATTATTACAAACTATCTTTGTCACATTCATCAGATATATTGAATGAGTTGGAGATACATGTATTATACCATACAACAGACTATCTTTGTCTCATTCATCAGATGTATTGAGTTAGTGGGAGATACATGTATTATACATTACTACAGACTATCTTTGTCACATTCTCCACAATATGAGTTCGTAGGAAATACATGTACAGTACCATTGTGACATTCATGCACTAGATGCCTTGCTGAAACGTCTGTAACGTCTCATGTCATCACTGGCACAGTAGAACTCAGTACAGTCACTCAGAACAATAGAACATGGATATAACAAACTACTAGTGACCGGAGTAATCAGTTTGTTATATATGTTGTTCGTAATATACGTTTCCACTCAGAAACGTCAGCCATCTTGGAAAAAACAAAACACTATACACGTAATTTGTTTTACAGACAAGATTAGTCCAATTACATATACGGTTCAGATTAACATTCAGCAAGTTTAACAAGGTCAAGATTGAATTGTCACCGCTGCTTGTCAGTGACACTTGACACTGAATGAGATTTCTCAGTTTGCTATACACGTCACTAATTAGTGGTATTTGGGCTTGTCGGGGATCAGATATCAGTTCGCAAAACACGTCACTAATTAGTGGGACTTGGGCTTGTTGGGGATCAGATATCAGTTCGCTATACACGTCACTAATTAGTGGTATTTGGGCTTGTCGGGCGTCAAGTATCAGTTCGCTATATTCGTTAGTTCGCTGTAGAGAGTTCTTATTGTGCGTAAATTTAATATGATAATATATAGGAGATAAATCGGGGATTTTGTAACAGTTTGTTGTATCCGTTTGTTCACGCTATCTGTGTTCATTATATCCGTGTGCTACTGTATTTTGTTTTGTTTGTTTTCATTTGATTATTTAAATGATGCCTATTTCATTTGCTCAATATTGTTTTTTTACCACGAACAATAGGATAGGGATCACTGTAATAAACTGTCTCATTGTATTGTTTGTGAAAAATGTCTGTATAAAAGAGAAACAAAAAAGTGAAAGTAGCAATTCTATTCAAAAGGATAGATTGAAGTGGATATCTTGTTTTTATTCCCTATGGCATCCTCTTATTGTAACGCAGTTAGTGCTAGAACTGATATGGGATCATATCATGCCATCAGTCCCATGCCATCAGCCACAACAAGTTAATTATTTTTTACCCTAAGTGAGGATAGTTCTCTTTAAATGACAACATTTATTGCTGAGAGGCCTGAAAGATTTTGTACTTTGCCTTAAGAAATTTAATTACCGCTGTTTGATTGGCATTCTAGAGAGTTGGTGAGTAAATAAATGTTCAACTTTATGGAAAACAAGTTCTAGTTTATTGCACTCCAGGGTAATAATGGTGTAAGAATCTATGTTGACGCTAAGTGCAATAAAGAAGAAGTTGTTATCCATAAAGTTGTATGCATGTTTTCTTTTCAAATTTAGATACAATGTTGCTAGAAAAGATGATAGAATACAAATGATTTGATATGATTAATAGTTATAGAAGTTTACCTTTCTGTTTACTTTCATACTATCTATCATTAAGAACCATTTTGGGTTATCTAAATAAGTAAGTACCTGAATGTAGTTGCACATTGATGATGTGCGATTCTGAAGAGCAAAACATTATTTTTTGTGGCCTTATGTTATATCATTCATTTTTTCAAAATGTAAGCTTGCATGTTTTAAACAGTGTAGACCAAGACAAACCACTCCACACTGTGGCACCTGGCATCTTTGTTGTCATAACAACAAGATAATTATGAATTCCCCTAAAGTCTGTTATATTCTTGTAAATGTGACACATGCTGGTTTTTGCCTTGTGTGCATAGGTCCTGGAATTTTAAAGAATCCTTTTTAGCAGTTTAACCAAGTTTAAAAAAGGCCTAAAAATAATGTGCTTCCGATTTCAAAGAATGATGTGAAAATAGTAGAGTTTTGTAGAGTTGGTAGACTGCTCCCAGTCCCCTGAAAGTCAAGTGAGCTTATGTTAGGCCTATTTGCCTTACGTTCATCATGCATTGTCCGAAAGAAGTGCGCATATGAAGCTGTTGTTTTTTTTTCTATTTTTTTCTTAGAATGTTAGAAACTGAGCATTGATGTTTGTCTGCAATGTATATGTCTCAACAAAAGAATGTTAATGTTGAAAAAAAGAAGTGAAAAAGTTTATTTGTTGGAGGTTAAGAAGCATTGATGGTTGTTTCATATTTATCAACAAGTTCTCATTATTTATGCAGGAAATATTAGGATATCAGCGCTGACAGCATCT